GCTGAATATTTACTTAAATCAACATCACGCCTGTTATGCGTACGCCAGATGCTACTTTTCTTTTTCTGCCCGATTTGCTAGGATATGAACAATTCATTTGAAAACGTAACGTCCCCAAGAAATATGCCCCCAATAATATTTTGGAAATTTGACATTTTCCCTGGGCTCAGTGCGTCAGCAGTCACGTTCTTGCCAAGTTTCATCTTTCCATGTGTCTTCGTTTGATCGAAGCAAAGAGAACTATTTGAAAATATGTTCCCCGAAAATGTGTATGTGTGCCCCCATGGCATGTATCGCCAAAGTATAATTTTTCCTGAACTCACTAGGCGAATAGTTACTTATGTCAGTCAGTCAGCTACTCACGATCGTCTATATATAATAAAAGTAGAATTTTTTCTTTACTCAGCTTTCCATCAGGTTCTTCTTTGCCAAGTTGAAACTTTAGCGCCCTCTGTTTTGCTGGATCAGAAAATTTTGGAAAATACGCCATTTGCAATAACTGTGCCATGAGGCGTTTTAACCGAAAATTACAATTTTTTTGAATCGAAATCAATCCTCTGAGAACTACATGCCCACAAAGTTTCAACCGTATACGCTTACCCTTTCCGCTGGTGAAAAAAACATGCTTGGAAAAGCCGACCCACCCAAAAGCTATGCCCGGAGGGGATGCATCATGAAAGCTGAATACTCTCTCAACTCAATAATATCATGTCGCTTATTCGTGTGTCAAGTTTCATTTCCTCCATTTCTGTCCAATTCGCCACGACAAATTTTTTTTTAAACATCACCCTCGAAATAATTCCCCCAGGGGATGTATCGAGATGTAACATCTTTCTTTAACTCCTTGTCTCAGTAGTCACATTCATGCAAAGTTCCAATTTTCCATGTTCATAAGTTTAACTGATGCAAAATAATTAGTTGAAAACATCTCCCTATGAAATTTGTGCCCCAAGACATTTACTTCCAAAGTCTGAATTTTTCTGCACGCAGCATCCCAATTGGTAGTTATGTACCAAGTTTTATCTTTCCACACTAGCTCACTATCATTTTGGATCCATGTCCCCAGGGCATGGATCTAAAATGTTACATTTTTCCTGAGCTCATCGTCTCGGTAGGCACGTCCATGCCAAGTTTCAGTTTTCCATGTCTCTCCGTTTTACTTAAGCAAAAATATTGTTATAGAAAACTGAAACTTGGCATGGACGTGCCTACCGAGACGATGAGCTCAGGAAAAATGTAACATTTTAGATCCATGCCCTGGGGACATGGATCCAAAATGATAGTGAGCTAGTGTGGAAAGATAAAACTGAAAACCCCCTGAATAACCAGGGGAGGCATTTTCGGCATGTGATATTGCACTGCTTCAAAAAAGGCATCGGGGCCTAGGAAACTGCAAGTGAGATTTGCGGCGTTTACGGGGACCATGCTGTGACTGTCCAGACCGTTCGCACTTGGTTCAGAAGATACGGATACAGATACGGATCTCACGAAGGCCTTAATGGATGAAAACCCCCGGTAGACTATTAGAGAGATCGCAGAGAGTCTGAACATCCCGCGAACAACGGTGCATAATCATCTAATGAAGATTGGCTACACGAATCGATATGAGGTGTGGGTACCCCAAGACCTGACGGAGCGCAACATCCTAGACCGCATTTCCATCTGCGATTTGCCGCTCCAACGCCACGAAAAAGATCCTTTTTTTGAAAAGATTGGTCACCGGGGACGAAAGTTGGATACTTTACGACAACGTGGGACGCAAACGATCCTGGTCCAGCCGAGACAAAGGTCCCATTCTTGTCGCTAAAGCCGGGCTCCACCCGAAGAAAGTTTTGCTGTCGATTTGGTGGGATCGGAAGGGTGTTCTCTACTACGAGCTGCTTCCACCAAACCAGACCATCAACTCTGAAAAATACCGCTCACAACTCGACGAATCGAAGTCAGCAATAGCCAGGAAACGCCCAGAATCAGCAAACAGACGAAGTGTTGTCTTCCACCATGACGACGCCAGGCCACACGTATCTTTGGCTGTTAGAAACAAACTCCTTGCGTTCGATTGGAACGTTCTGCCCCACCTACTCTCCGGACATTGCTCCGTCCGACTACTATTTGTTTCTTTCCCTCAAAAACTCCCTTCGCCAAAAAAAATTGACTCTTTGAATGGCATGAAAAATCACTTTGATAAGTATTTTGCCAGCAAATCACAAACGTTTTGGAAAGAAGGCATTATTATGAGACTTCAGGAGAGATGGAAGAAGGTTGTTGAACAGAGTGGCACATATATACTTCAATAAAATTTCGCCGTTTCGAAATTTCGCATGATTCATTAATTGTAAAAAAAAAAACGAAAGAAACTTTTGGGACAATCTATACCTCCAAAATCAGATTTTTTTCTGAACTCTGCATCCCAATAGGTACTTATGTACCAAGATTCAGATTTCTAATCTTTCTAGAACATGGTTCGAATCAGCGTCAGTCAGTCACGATCGTCTATATATATTAGATTCAACTCTTTACGTGGGCTCTTAGTCTCTTACTTGGTCAGATTTTTTCTTGGTCTCTTTTTTTTTTTTTTGCAGGAAGTCGTGGCAACTGGCCACGGAGAACGTCGGCGTTGCACACGAAAGCCTTCTAAACGATTCGTGCAAGATGCGCCGGACAGAAACGACTTCTGCCCGGTCGAAGTCAGAATATCGGGAATATGGGGCTTTCCGCCTAAAAACTCCTGGGATTTTTCACGGTCTGGTAATTATGGTCATCCCCCGGTATCGCGGTTCCTCGGGTTTTTAGCACGTTCTTAATGCTCTCCGTGCTCCAATTAACAGTACAAGTACCGAAGCGGTCGTTTTGACCGCTAGCGGTTTTTAAATGCAACTCACTCCGCTCGTTTGGCAACTAAGGACTTTCGTCTTTCTATATCTAAGTATTCAGCATCCTGATACAGCAGTATACCCAGGGTTGCAAAATCAACGGAGATATAACACGTTAAACCCAGAAGTACCGGAGCGGTCATTTTGACCGCCATTGAGAAATCAACGCATTCGGCTTTGTGAGCAACTGCCTAAGCTGCTGTGAGTCTGCGTCTGACCTACCATTTTCACGCGTTCGACCTGCTGTGGTCACGTGACCGACCTGCTGTAATCACGTGACTAATTTGCTGTGAAAGCGTGCATTTTCTTGAAGCCGAACTTGAAAGCTATGCATACATCTTGTATATGCTAAGGTAGGATTTTTTTCGGACAAGTTGAGGTAAATTTTTCCTGCAACTTATTTGCTGATTCTGTGTATCTGCCGTGAAATCGTGCGCAGTGGAAATGAATAGACCAAGAAAACAACGTGATACTGCACTCCAGTGCTTACAGCTATTACAGGACCTATCTGAAGCTGAATCCAGAAATGAAAACGAGAAATGCCTAAACAAGGATGAAAATGACCATGACGACGATGAAGGGACCAAGACGCAAGACGGCCGTGCCGTGTGGGAGAAGGCAGGGCGTGGCAAGCGCCGTGCACGCGTGCGGAGTATCACGCCTATCTTCATTCCATAAACACCTGGACTCTGCAAAGTAATTTACATTGCCTAATGTCCTTTTCAACATTCCACGTATTAAAACTTTAGAACAGACCTTTTTTTTTCCTTTAAATTTGTTCTGTTGTCAGGGCCGGATTAAGGCTATGAGGGCTAAGGAAGGGGAAGAGCAAAGCAATGGCGCCCCAAGGGGGGGAGGGGGATTTGGGGGTCATAACCTCCCCCTTGTGGTCAATTTTACAAGTTCGATTCTCACAAATTTTTTAATTTGACCACAAATACAGGCTGGGATGTTAGTTTTTTCATATGTTCACCTGCACCCCCATTAGGGTGCGTAATCAGTGTCTCATATGGCAAACCCTCTCCCCCCCCCCCCATTCGGATTTCCTGGGCACGCTACTGGGCCTATTATGAATGACATATTGCAACAAAAAAAATGGGATGGAGGGCCAAAAGCTGGGCCTAAAAATAAGAAGGCTGAAGGCGATAGCCTATGGGATAATCCGGGCCTCTGTTGTACATGAACAACTTGAAGAAAAAAAATTAAATGTTACATAATAATGATTTTATACGATTTTTAATATAGCGGTCGGAATGACCGCTCTGGTATTTCTAGCGTTAATACCCCAAACCCCTTTCAGCGAGTTCGGATCGATGGCTCCAGCCGAAAAAGCCCGAACGGGCAGCTGAAGCGGGGGGGATCCCCCTACCGATATTTTCTGGCATAATGATCGTATATAATTGGAATTGTGAATGCCATCCCCGATCGCAGACCGCTGAGGATGCGACGCGGCGGTGCTCGGCCGGCCTGTGTGGGGACGACCTTGAGATCCGCACATTCGAGCCGCAACTGCGTGCGGACAAAAGGATATTCCTGGCCTGGTTCACAATAATGCACGGAAGCGACACGTGAAGGGATAGCAGCTGTGCCCCCCCCCCCCCCCCCCCCCCCCCCACCTCTTCCGTACGCCTCGCGCTCCTTGTCGTGACGTTCCTCACGATGTTCGCGTTCGTGACATTCCTCGCAACAAGACTCAAGTCCGTGACAACCCTGGAGTGCCGACACGCGACGCGAAGTTTCCCGACGAATTCCGACTCGCTCTTGGCAAAACACGATGACGAGTTCGAGGCCGACTCACGAGAAAAGTCGCAATTACAACACGAACCGACTCGTTCCATCATGACTATAAGCCTACTTATACAGTAATTGCAAAAACGATGAATTTCGTGGTGGCAGCATCGTCATGTGGCGAGTGATGCCGCTTCTCGGCTTACGACTGTCGATCGAGGGAAAATTTTTATTGTCGTTGGCAATTCATCGTACCGATTCACTCGAACTTAACCTACTGCGACGACGTATCTTCATTTTGCCGTCACCCAATGAATACAGAACGGAAGGAATCCGTAAGAATCGAGAGTCTCGCACGAGTTTTCCCGGACGGATGCAGATCGATAGATTGCCGATCGATCGATGAATCGGGGGTACGTGTCACCTACAACGGCGAAACGGGCTCTCGACTTCAATTGGGGACGAAGATATGGCATTTCTGGGTATGAGCAAGATAACAGGGCCATAGAGACGATGGAACAAAGGCGACAACCGGCGGCAGCACCAAGCCGTCCCTTCCGTTGCCTGGTATGAGAATGGGGGGCATCACGAGCAGACCGGTGCACTCAAACGTCCGTTCGATTTGGCGTTTTTTCGAATAAAGAAAACGTAGGCGTATTCAAGGTTCCCATTGCGCTGGAGCGGCCCCCGAGAAGCGCTGGAAAGCCTCTACGGGCACATTGCCATGAAGGAGCCCTCTATGGCTGCATTGCCTTGATTTTCGATCGGGGCGACCGGCGAGTCAGCTTTGCCGCCCGCAGTCGTCGTTGGTCACTCCGCGAGCATCGAATACGCTCCACGTCACCAGGAGGGAAGGACGCGATTGGTCGGGAGGGGGAAGCGTCACTTCAAACTCCCGCGGCTTCTCGTAGCGTCATTCTCTGGCCGGACACTCCTGCGATCGTTACGCCTTGTAGCTCCAAGCCGAGCAAGCTTCCAACGCAGGATTACCGTGTTCGTCTCTATACGCGTGAGGAGATTCAAGCATGGTGAGTTTTACAGTCTCGCTGGTTTCTCTTTAGGCCTCTCAGTGTATCCTATTAGTTCGTGAAGACCTAGATCGAAAACCGTAAACAGTTGGCCTAAGCCCAGGTGTATCGGCGGTACTGTATCGGCGAGTTTCATGATTCATAGGCCTAGCCTATAGTACATTCATATTGACCCATGTACTCGCACAGTTGGACTCCCCTTGTGGCTAGATAAACTTTTTCGCCTGATTCGCATATATGGGCCGTAATAAGTTAACGTTAGGCCTAGGCCTAAGCCGAAAGCGGCAATTTCGTAGTTCACTTTCGGCGTAACCCGTGAAGTGAGTAGAGTAAGCCTTTTGCCTTGATCTATTCATTGTTTCTTACTTGCTCAGTTGCTTGGCCTGCTTTCTACCATTTTCCCCGCAAAAATGCAGTTACATGTTTTAGCGCCATATACAGTTGACGAACAGGAAGCATTGATTTGTATCGCAAACGTATGCATTTTGAAATATTAATGTTTTAATTTTGAATGAACCACATCGCAACGGAAAAATTTGCCACGAGAATTAGAATAATTAATTTTGCAGCCTAAGGCCTAGTCTGCAGGTTTTATTTAGGATTGTCTTCATTGTAACGTTTACAGTAGAACTACAACTTCATAGATGATGTGCTTATATCTATACAATTGCCACTTTTTCAAATTAGATCAGAATTTTTCTAGTCAAATTTGATAATATATGCTTAACTTTTGAAGGAAAATGAAGTGGTCATAACCAGTTATTTTCTGAATACAGTTCAACTTTTTTTTAAGTAAAGAGAAAGGGCACATGGCAGACACAGGACAGTTCTCAAATTGCATTTTAAAAAGTTGAAAATGCAACTCCTTATTCCCCTTGGCAAAGGAATCACAATCCCATAAGCACACCCCCTATGATGTCAAAGAGGGGGCCTTAGCTGGCCTATGTTTGAGAAGAATGATGTTCTAGACCAAGGTTTCAAATTTTGGGTCTGCCAAATGATTTAGCAGTTTCCTGCCTCCCCTGATTTTTTGCAATAATCCATAGGCAATTATTTTTGGATCAGTTTGTATACTAACAATGAGCACAAGTATCTTCTATGGCCTAACCTCTACAAACAGAATATACATTTCCTCCATCATCTAATGGATTTTAGGGTGGCCAATTGGGTGCAACCATGACTGGTGGTTTGTCTAGGTGGTCCAACCTAAGCATATGGGATAGATGGTTGATCATCTTAAGGACCTCATGATATTAGTGTTGTGAACACCATTCATGCGAATATCTTTGTAAGAGTGTATGTATAAATTCTAGAATTATTATACAAGGGCTGAGAAAATGTTCTCTAACTAATATCTGACTAAGCTGATTTGTACTAAATATCATGATGAGCAAAGGATTAGGCCCTCCAGGGCATATGTTGTCAACTGTGCTCTGGCCACCAAAGTATTTGGTTTGAGTTCAGAGTTTGGTGAGCCCAAATTGCCCAAGCCTTAGTACCCTAAAGTGCATTGATGGAAAGCCAATTGTCAGCAGTATCAAAATTGTCATCACATCCCCCATGCCCAAAAAGAAAAGGGATATACAGAGACAAGTTGTGGGAATGTGACTGTTCTCAGGGGTGTTCAATGTGGGTAACCCCCTTTCTCTATGTTCTGTCACTGTGGCTGTTGTCCACAACTAAAGCTTTCTTCCATTCATATTACCCTTGTGCAAATACCTATTTATCAGTCATTTGACATCTTGCTACTGGTTTCCTGAAATGAGCAAATTTACTTTACAAAACAGCAAAATTGCACCTTAATTCCTTGGGTAGTTATGTGTAGTCTCAAAACCTCCCATTGAGTGATGAGGCATAAGCCTTCCTTACTGCATATTGAGCTTTGGCCTAAATCTTGAAATTTATCTTATGAAAAGATATAGATGTAGTAAAAAAAAAGTCAGCATGTTGGCCTAGGGTAACAGACTGAAGTGTGCTGAAGGTATCCCTTGTTATACTTGATGTTTAATGTGTTATGAATGGGGAATCTGTTATTCTCTTTCAGGCTGGAGGCAAAGCAGGCAAAGATACTGGGAAGGCAAAAGCCAAAGCCATCTCACGTTCTGCAAGAGCAGGTTTACAGGTATGCTGTGCATTCTTTGCATATGTGAGAGAATGACATGTGTTCCTGAATTTGAAGAAATTCCAATGGTTCACAGTGATTGTTGATGCCAAGGGATTATGCCTGCATTTCTTATGCAGAAGTGAACATGTCAAAGATAAAATATCACTTTCATGTTTCTTCATACCCTTGGATCAGGTTATGTTCTACTGAATTGGTCGTTAATATTATCTTTGCATACATATATACCTGCAGTTGGGTGTTTGGCTTTTAGAGACATGGGGAAACTGCCATTGTTATATTAAAATATGGGCTGGAGGGAAAGATAGAACATTGATAAGAGGTGTAGATAATAAATAAGTTAGGACAGTATTTGAAAATACATTCCTAATGCTACTGATTCTGGCCATCTTTTAATTGATGTACAATTTAGTGAGAAATCCATATTGTGGTTTTACAGCATACCTATTGCTTATTAAGCTGTTTTCCAAAGGAGGAGAAGGAAAGCTAGGTTAACAATGCTTTAGAAGGATTGTTCATCAAAAATTGACACCCCCAGAGAAGATTTTGAGGAGCAAGGTTTGAGTTTGATGGAACGGTATTCTGACATACATAGTTCGTTATGTCAACCACTCATAGACAAGTGGGGCTGGTTATTGATGTAGGAATGCGGAAAATGGTGAAATGGTACATCTTGTGTCCCCCTTCCCCGCAGGGAACGTTTTGTTGATACGCGTGAAGAAACGAATCTCAAGCCCCGCCCACTTTCGTTCCTGTCTTGTTTCTGTCCAAGCCCTGATTTCTACCAACCCCCTTCTATTCGCACCAACGGACCGCCCCCAAACGCATCGTGTGCACTGCGATTTCTATATTGCCTCTGCTTCGTCGCTCAATGATTTATTCTCAGCCATTCCTTCCCGCGTGTAACTCGAAAATCCCCCTTCCGAGAATTCCGAAACAGTGGTAGCAGCAGTCGGAATTTTGCACTTTCTCTTACCGGTCACGATACTTTTACATGGACCGTACGTAAAGTTTGCAACGGCAAATCTCGTTGAATTCTCATGGATTCCCACGGCGAACGAGTGAGGTTACCACGGGCTGTTTCTGTGTTCCACGCTCTCCCGACCGGTTCAGGAAGAGGGTCCTGGATTCTACTTTCACGCTACAGTAGTCCCGTCTCACCTCCCGCAAGAGGGAGGGGCTCACATCGTGAGCTTTGACCTACTTTGTAACGTTAGGCCTAATTCATTCAGGGGGGGGGGGGGAATAGCATGGCGAACGTTCGAAACACCAGAAGGAACACCCTTCGCACCGGGGGCAGTATATGGAGGTCATTTAGGAGAGATGAAGAGGCCTTTTAGGCGAGGAGCGCTTTTCCCTGCATGGGAGTCCATGTATTCGTAAAGGACCGTTAACGAATGGAGGTTTTAGTATTTTGGCCGACGTCACTGAGGGATGGGGTCTCGTTTCGCCTCGTTATCCGCCTTTCCCCGGTCAAAGGGGAAGGAAGACTTACTCTTTGTGTAATACCATCTCGCTTGATAAACATTTGGGATTTAGGGAAGTTTGACCTTTCTGTGAGAAAGATGAGTGAATATCTATCATTCACAATATATGCTGAATGTACTTCCAATATCGGTAATGGTATCGAAACTATTTACATGTCAGATGATTCCGATAACCGATAGATTATCGTTACACGCCCAGTTTTAACGTGATGCCCTTTTGTAGTTCCCAGTAGGCAGAATCCACCGACATTTGAAGAACCGCACAACAAGTCATGGCAGGGTTGGAGCTACGGCTGCTGTCTACAGTGCTGCCATCTTGGAATATCTCACAGCTGAAGTATGACAACATTTTTTTTTAGTGAGAGTGCTTTGCTTAGGCTACTTTATGATGACGGTGAATTTGTTGCTGCAGGTGTTGGAGTTGGCAGGGAATGCCTCCAAAGATCTCAGAGTGAAGAGGATCACCCCTCGCCATCTCCAGTTGGCCATCAGAGGAGATGAGGAATTGGATTCCCTTATCAAGGCCACCATTGCTGGAGGAGGTAATGATCAGTTTCTATTTCTTTATTGCAATTTTTAATGTGTAGCTGGAGACATAGGCAAATTTGCTGTGTAACTGAAAATTAAACAAGGCACTCATGATTAGTCATGTAGCATTAACTCAAAAGATAATCAGTTGGGGGGTAGTAAGGCTGACTTAGACATTTGCTAGAAACGCTGCCATGGAGTTTAGTTGGGGGAAACTTGCCTGGCTTAGAAATAATATGAATTGCTATTCCCTGATTTGGTAAGGTACTGCTAATATGTGCTATTTGGAATTACTGTTTGTCATGGTGACTGAAGTGTACAAGGTGCAACTTCACCTGACTTGAGAAGAACTACAGTATATTCCACTTTAACCTCTCAAAATATCTGCAACTAATGTCGCCCTCTATTTCAACCCTTGACATCTTTAATGATGAAAGATTTCTGCCACAGAGGTGTGGATGTGTCTGAAATTTGGCATGAATCCTTCTTAATCATTTGAGTTATATTAAAAGAAAATAAGAGTAACCCTTGAAATTAAAGGTGTTCTTGCATACCAGAGATTCAACGTTGATGGCATGATGCATATTCATCTTGCTAATGTGCTTGCTTTGGGACATATGCTTCCATAGAACCACAAGAAGCATGCTCCTCAAGTACATTCCTGCAATGTACTCTGCTTCTTGCCCTTATTAACTTATTTACAAGCCATTTTCCTTAGCACGAGAGGCATGGGTAGGCTTGAGAAGCGTAGCAAGAGTAAGTCTTGACTTTAATTAGGTGACTCATATATTATGCACAATGTAGATGTAAGACTGCAAGTAAGGGCAATCATTTGAGCCCCTTGGGAAATGACAGTAATTGAACATCAATAATGGTGAAGGATTTACAAGGCCATGAAATGATTCCTTAATGATAAGGAAAGCCTACAAAGTATGGATGTATGCTTCTTTGAGGACAATTATTTTCATGTCACTTGTAAGTAAGCTACAGGAGGTTGTATCTCAGAAATGATATTGCCAATATCGATTTTTGCATTTTATAGCATGGCAATATAATGAGGATTAACAAAACTGCCAGTCTCAAAGAGTATCTCAGAGTATAATACAGAGCCTTTTACTTCTCTTGTGATAGGTATAAGCCATAACATATAAAAATCACTGAAATTTAAGCCAAAAACCCTTGCAGATGAGTTTCCTAAGATGTATTAGGCACTTCATCTGAAATTCTGAGGCAGTCTTAAAAAGAATATAAGGTTTCATCAGGATATGAGAACTGAATTATTCCATAATGGTCATCAATCACCAGCACTTCCTTTTCCCTATATATATGCATGCAATTTGTTGTGTCTTGTACTAAACATTTTGTCCTTTTGCTTTCAGGTGTCATCCCGCACATCCACAAATCCCTGATCGGGAAGAAAGGATCTCAGAAGCCTGTCTAGGCTCCCAAGTGTCAAACCTCCCTACCTTCAGCTCTCATGTACAAGTGTTGGACCAAACCCCTTTTTTTTTTTAACTGAAGCAACTGAGACTTCTGGAAGTGTGGTTGAATTCATGTGTAACATTTGCTCAGCAATCCAAGCAGCCATGCATTATCCTTCCCTTTTTACCTCTATTTCTTCGTGTATTTTTACGTGTCGTATTTATGAGCCAGACTCTGGAACCTGCAAGATGTCTTCTGTAGAGCACCGATCACATGGAAGAAACTCTTGGTTTGATGCCTTCACAAGTAAAGGGACTTCCTGCTACAAAGCAACTGAAAATAGTTTTGAATTTCATTTCTGCATGGTCTCATTTGACTTTTGTTGTTAGACCCTTGTTATTAGGGGAACAATATTAAAGATCAGCAACACCCAGTTCTACCTTGGTTTTCTTATTTTTTTTTTTTTTTCTTTTACAGCAGTTCCCATGCTGGACCCTATTCATTTTCCCAGCTGTATCATTCACATTCCTGCAGGAGTGCTTGGTCTCTGGCAATTACTTGCCCAGATGTAACAATGCCTTGTCTGCTCATGATTCGAATTACTGACTTTTTCTGAAAGCTGTAGAAGGAGTGATACAAGACGAAGGCTTTCTTGTTGATTGGTGTTACTGATATTCCTCTCAGGTTTATACTTTGCCATGAAAATGTCATTTTCTGTGCATTCTCTTTGTTCATAACCGGGTAGAATGCAATGGAGTTGGTAATTTGTAGCCAGACGTGGGTCGATTGCGGTGGCATTGTAATTGTTTACGATTACAATTAAGCCTCATGGGTGAACTTCGATTGCGTTTCCTCATATAATACTGATTGTGAATAATGAATAAATAGCCTATTACAGTAGCATTTGCATGACAACTTTTGGATTATAATTTTGATTAAGTTTCTTTAATAATAAAAGAAAAGTGTCTTGATAAATGTGAAGATAGGAAATGTAGGTGCCAGCTTTGATTACCTCAAATGGAATGGTATGGGACATGTTTCTTACAAATTTTAATTTTCACTTTGTGCTTTCATTTTTCTTATCTGGTGGTCTTTTGTATGTTGCCCTTTTATTCATTTTGTCTGGTCCTACCCAAAGTACATTCCACTGTCGGATAAGACTGATGTAATTCTATATCCTCTTCAGTCCTAAGCATTCTTTTTTAAACTGTCACTTTCAAGGGGCTCTTGGAATCCATTACTTGTGGTTCATGCTTTCCTTCATACATCTCATTATTGAAAACTTGAATTTCTTCTCAGTCAAAATATATAGAATATACTTTTAATAAATAAATAAACAATTCTCCGTAAATCTTGATACTAGGACTCGAGATATTTACAAATGAGAACTTGATTTGTTTGTAATTTGTATTTTTCCTTATTTTCCATCAGATTTTTTTGTGCCATTAATTTTAGCATTATATTGGGAAATTCAAATTCTGGTTTTGCTGAGTCATTGATTCAGTTGGTGTAAAATTTGACTAACTTAAGTGGCTTTGTGATAATATGGTTAATGTTAAGGTACAATCCATTTCAATCCTAAATCATGATTCTTGAAAGAACTGCACATTCATCATGCTGCTCATTTCTTGGTTTTGCTCGTGTTTTCCCAGTTTTGCTACTTTCTCCTCATAACTATTACCCTAAACGCAAGAAATTTTAACCCTGCTATAATAATGCCGGAAAGCTTGTAGTGTGACCATTAAAAGTGATATCGTGTCTTTCTCAATAATTGCATGTAATGCCACATAATCTGTTGAACCGTTATGTTATTCTGGAACTTTGACATTCGATGGAAGTTTTTAATTGAGCGATGACATTTGAGTTGCATAAAATTGAGGCAGTTGTGTTCCGTCAAAATTAATGTAATTCGCCTGAAGAAGCCTTTTCGATATCTCCTTTTTTGTATGACTTCTCGATGCAGGATCATTTTTGAGTGACGTTGAAACCGGAGTAAACAATCGAAGGCGTAACAGTGCCGTTGGGATGCCCCGATAAGGATCGCTCCCATTTCTTCTGGGTTAAGCCGGTTGTGGTGTTTTTCCTTGTCTGTCTGCCCATCGTCTGGGCCCGCTTTAAATTTTTTATATAGTTTTTTTTTCGTCCCATAAGGATTCCCCGCAAGTTTCCCAGAACAGACACGGAACTCTTTATGACGAGGCTGGAATCTAGGGATGAGACCCAGCATTGCTAGAAACACTTTCGCGCATAAGTAGATGGAAGCATAAGCGCAGCGTGGATGGAAAAAGTGTTGGGGGGGGGGTCACGGGAACTCTGGGATGTTATCACGCATCTCTAGGTCATTTCCATCCTTTTTTGGGGGCTTCTCTTGAACCGCCACTGGATGGATGCGAGTGCACCACAGAGATGCGACCGAAGCCTGTAGGATGGCACGAATGATTCTTCTTCCCCTCAGGCACGCTCGTGAACGCTTCCCTTCATGGCTCGGGAACAACCTCCCCTTCCCGCTCGAGGGGCCATTCACGGATTTAGTGCAGAGATGGCGTTAGTGCCTCCGCGGCTGAAGAGGCTCGTCTACGTGCGCTAGCGTCATCTCTATTAAGGCTTGGGATACCATCGTTTTGAATCCCAGCGATACGACGCTATGCGCACGTTGCATAACTCTTGTTTAGTTTCTCGTTTTTGCCCACCGACTCAATCCGCCTCCGGAGACTGCTGCTAAACATAATGCACCAATTCTTGTAAATGGGTTCGTTTCTGGCTAGCTACATGCCTGAAAGGGCCATGTCCCAAATACCCCTCCATCGACTACTCATACGTGGTGCCTCTCCGGCGCTGTGCACGAGAGAAAGGTCCTCGAATCGACTTCCCGTATGTGCGAGCATGCACGATGCGAATGTGTCACGAATTCCTGTCGATTCATCGATCGCGACTCCACTGTTAGTGGGGATTCTCCGGCGCCCTCCTCGACATCGCCGACAAGACGGCAAGAAATCAATCTGTAAACACTGCAAACGCGTCCGACTCCGCCCTTGCTTTTCCACGCCACGTGTGTATCAAGAGAATTTTTTTTTTGCCCTTGGGATTCCTCGCGACGCATGCGTTTCTTCTTGCTTCCTTTCTCTGCCGTTTTCTTCTGACCTGCTCAGCAAATAAACATTTACTTCGAGTAGTCGGAATATTTACGACTTTTCCGCCGAGACTTCTGTCATAATCAATCATTTACGCTCGCTTCAATCGTTACAAACTCTCCTCTCTTGACAACCTGAAACGCATCCCGATGATCCTTGCTTGCATTTGGATCTTTCCCTCAGAATTTAAGCCAATTGATTAAGCCTTTTCTCGAGGAAGAGGGGAAAAAACGAGCCAAAATCCAGGTAGCGAAGAAAAAAAGGCAGAAATCGGTCCGATCCGACTCCCGTCCGTAAATTCCGTCAGGGACCAGACCCGTGCAGACCTCTAAAGAGTGTCCGCGCCGACTGCGACCCGACCCGACCCGACCTCTAATGTGGTTCCGCCCCGATTCTAGCCTGTACCGCTAGGCCCGCTGGCAAGTCGGTACAGCCACGGTCGGACCCAGGCTACCAGGACATCCATGCGTATGTCTCTTGCAAGGCCAAGGTCAGTGGGATGGTGAAGCCGACGAGTCGCTCCACGCTGCGAGTCAGTGGCAGTGTGCCCTCCGCGGCGAGCCGTAGCCCTAGGCGTGTGTCTCCCCCTCCTGTCAAAGTAAATTACGCAATAGGTCTAAGGTTGAGCAGTAACGTGTTAGGCCTGTATCTGCGGCCTTTTGTTTCTGCTGTTTGACCATTCGCTTGGCGAGAAATAGGCCGTGCCCTACTGCTTCGAGCATCGGAGTGTAGGTTCCAATTATAGTATTTTTTTGCATTGTGTCTCCTGGTGCAGCAAAAGTTGAGGTGAAATGGGAGGAGAAGGAAAATATTTGGGCGCATTTGGAAAGCTTTTCGTCAAAAAGTTCCAGTTTTTCTTGATTGCCGATGAAAGCTTTGAGTCAGTGTCCCGTGAATGCCTAACTTTAGGCCTAAGTATCCAGTAACCAAAAATTATAGGCAAAACACTGGTCTTGGAAATGTCTTAGGTCATAGGCTAGGTTAGGGAGCCTGCAGACCTGGAAAGTCTTTGAATCTAGGCCATAGACTTGAAGCTTCTCACATGCACTAAGATCATGATCCCAAAGGTGAGCCTCTTGTTTACAGGTAGATATCTGAGATAAAATCACCCATCTGCCTTCGGACGTCACAGATCCGAGTGTTCCCACGAGCATCTCATCCGTTGAGAGTTTCCAAGATCACCCCCACCGATCACGATGCATCGGGTGAAGACGTTGTTTGTGAGCCTCGCCCCCCTTGCCGGACAATGCAGCCAGGAGGCGAGGGTGAGATTCATCATAAGGGCGAGTGCATGCATCGAGGCCCGCCGGAACACCAGTGATTCGAGTCAGAACCGGACGTTCGTCACGAATCCTGCCGCCCAAGAGCCGTTCCTGAGCGGGAGCTCCTCGACCTACATGGAGGAGATGTACAACATGTGGCTCCAGGATCCATCGAGTGTGCATGCTGTAAGTGTGATTGTTGCACAGCCAGCCATTCCATCTGCGAGAGGGGATCAGTCATCTTCAATAGCTTTTGTGGGGATGGTGTGCTGCTTTGCCCCAAAAGCAAATATTTTTACTTGATATCTTCTCCAATATATTCTCATTAAGGGTTATATGTTTTTGCAAGTGCCATTTCACATCACAAAGGAAATCCAGTAAGCATCACAAGTTAATGCAAATTTGTTGTCAGAACTGAGTCTTTCCACCTACTAGACTTAGGAACAGACTACTTCAGTGAATGGACATCTTAACACGTTGACATCCAGATGTATGAAATGTGCACAATTCCTGTTGTCCAGCTATTTGAAAAGTGAGCTGCATCAATGAGTTAAATAGATGCAAAATATTGAAAATTAGTTTCACATGGTTTAAATAGATGCAAAATATTGAAAATTGGTTTCACGTGGTTGACTGGATTGTGATAACCATCAAGTTTGCGAGCAGAAGTTTATTCTTTTTAAACCCATATTTCTGTCCCAAAAGATCTATGATCTTAAAAGTTTTTCCATTGACTCAGTTGGCAAGTCATCTGCCTGCCTATAGCAATTATAGCTGCTCTGTAGCCTGATGCCCACATGGTTATGCCACTTGGTATGATTTTTACATATTGTCCAAATTCTGTCCCCCCCCCCCCAATTACTTTAAGTGCTCTTTGCACATTTTAATGCCTCAAGTGATTCAAGAGTGCTTCTTGGATGCCTAATGGCACACATGAGATAGATGTGTCCATGTATGGTGCCCCATCCAAGATGCCACAGCACTCAGGTGAGGTAGATTGCTGTATTTCGTGTTCCATGCAGCCAAAACAGTTGCCAATATTTTAAGGCATGGTATTGAAATTTGTGGATTGTACAGACCTTTTCATATGGCTTTGTACCTTCACAACTCACATTCTTGAATACACAGGAACTCCAAAATTGGTAAGCTTCATTCTCCAAGGTTTCTGTGCCCAATGGGTTTCATTCTTTGTTGTCCTGTATTTTCAGGGGTCAAAAGTGCTTGGCTGGAATTCTGCTTGTTTCTCAGTAACAATATTCATTTTTTATCCTTGAACAAATTTCTCAAAGCCTCTCCTCTTGCCCTTGAAAGTGTGAGAGCCGACCTTTTCCCCTGGTACCTTGAATACATGTATTTTTTCCTATCTTTTAATTTTGGACACTATGATATGTAGAATCTGTTTTTATTGAGCAGATAAGTGTGGAAATCAATGGGAGGATCTCCAACCAGTTTTTAAGGCTAAACCAGAAACAATTTGATACTTGATGACCTTAACCGAAATGCCTGGAATGTTGGAATGCATACCTTTCGTCACTGCACAACCTATTTCCAGTTTTTCCTTGGAGAAAAATAAAGTAAAGCATAAAATTGTACCATAACCATGCAAAATGGGGTATGTTGAGATCCAAGCATCTTTATCAGGGCTGGACCCCAAAAATCAAACTTGGGGTCTGGTTGGGCACCATTTCGTCCATCCAAAGGTTGAGACCTTCCTGGTACTTTTTTCTGACCTGTGCAAGAAGAATACTTTTCAATTCCAATGATGCATTGGGCTTCAAGGCTGCTGCCTTCTGCATCTGTTGAAATTCAACTGCTTCCTGTGAATTTGAGTTTCTTTTCAGCTGATGCATATTTGAGTTATATGCCAGAGGGAGTAGTGCACAAGCAGTAGTTTATCAAATGTCATCAAATCATAAATGTCAAATATCGCAGTTCAAATTACGGTCGCCCTGCCGTAGGAAAGGGACTGTTTACAAGTCCCACAAGTTTCAGATGCGCTATGCAGGGATGTAGAGATGGCATCCTCCTCGAGGAAACGAAGCGTTCCCTGTCGATGGGAAGGCGGACCTAAGCTTGGGTGACGAAACTCGTTCAGGGTGATTTACGTGACACCCTCCGGGAAAGACGGAGCAATCTGATTGCAGTTTATTTTCTCGGCGGTGTTAATGCCCTTCCGCTGATGGATCGGGGACCCGGAGCCGGGCGGGGCTTGGCCTGGTAACAGGGAGAACGGGGAGGAGGATGCAGTACCGAAGGGTGCGGGATCCCGTGCCAAGTGCGGAAAAGGGGATGTTGGATGGATGCCCAGCACGTGCTGGGGAAGGGTTCAGTCGGGGAGTTCGTGTGGTTGTCATGTCACGGCATGCGCGCGTTTCCGCGATCGTTCCGTTTAAGCGAGAGCAGTAGTAGCGCTCGTCCGCGTCGCTTCGTCCGATGCGTTCGAGCTTATCCTCATACGGGACTGCCTGAGCGATTTCTTCGAAGTCGGCATTGCCTCGAGGCACGGGCAGGATTTGGAGATTTTTCTTTAACCTCGCTGTAGCCTTTAGGACGTGACGACATGCTGCACGTGGCGGCCTTCGGTAGTAGGGACACATGGAGCGAATGTTTGGAGTATCCGTCTTATCACAATATTTCCCCCTCTCGTTATGCAATGGTTGACCTCCGCATGCGAGGCACCCGCCGGTGCCTTGATCCATTCCCATGCATTAACCTTTTTTTATTTTTTTTTTTTTGGGGGGGGGGGGGGGGGGTCGAGGAGGATGAAGGAAATTCTGAAAGACCTTTTGTCTTTTTCTTCTCATTTAAGGGATGCTCTCGTTTTAAATTTTATTATTGTCTCTGACCGGAAGTGGGAGGATCGGTTTCAGCTTTGGATGGATGGACGAATCCATCGATTCTCGGAAACCTAGCATTCAACGATGAGTTACGGCGAAGAGCGCTCATCGGTCGAGGTGATCATTCGCTCTTCGAAAAATTCTCCGAAACTACGGAAAGTTGTTGGACGNTGTTGTTGGGGGGGGGGGGGGGGGGGGGGGGGGGGGGGGGCGAAGGCCGCCGCCGCCACCCCCTTGGATTATCCTAGACGCGTTATGGGGTGGATTTGGTGTGATCTAAAGGTCAAACTAAAGGTCATGCATGGTGGATTCTTGCGACCGTTGCAAGGATGTTGCTCGGCGATGCTTCTGCAGTCCGCGCTGTCAAGTTTTGATTGAATGAAGTTTGCATTGCCATCGGCTTACGTGGATTATCAGCATTAAAAAAAATTAATTTCAATGCCATAATAATTAGTTCTGGGTGGGAAGGGTTTAATCTTTTGGTAGGAACGGGAACGCCTTTGCCTTAAGTAAGGAGGCCAGCGTGTTAAGTAAATGAGTTAAGTAAAACTTAGGGTTGTATTTTCCAGGTCATAACGCGGAGCGATGGTGAAAATTCCATCAAGGAAAATATGTTATGAAAGCAACTCTTCTTTTCCTTGCAGGTGGGAGCGCCTCACGGCCGCTAATCCCATTCGATAATTACCGATGATTATCGAGAATTATTGATAATTACCGATAATTATCGAGAATTATTGATAATTACCGATAATTCACTCACATGAAACTTTTGCATTCTCTTAATTTTGGTCTCTGACGGTTGAATTCTCTGCGTTTCCGACAGTCGTGGGACACGTTCTTCCGCGGGGCCTCGGCGGGGGCGAGCCCGGGGGAGGCGTACATGTCTCCCCCGTCGGGGCTGGCTCCCCTGCCGCCGAACACCGTGTCCGTGGCGAGCCTCCTGGGGCCCTCCCTCGCGCACGCGCAGGTGCACCCGCACGCCCTCACGTCCGTGGACGAGAAGCTCATCTCGGATCATCTCGCCGTGCAGGCCATCATTCGATCATATCAGGTTTCGATGGGGGGGGATGTCCTCATTCACTCTTTTTTTATTATTTTATTTTATATTATATATTTTTTAAATTCTAGTTGGTTTGGAAAGAAGGTTAAAAATGTCGTATCAAATGTCTGTTTGCTTGTTTCTTCTTAGGAATAGTCTTCATGGAATTAATTAGGAAATGGGGTCGAATCACCTATAGTCATGCAGTTACTTCTGTTCCTGCTTAAGACGCGTAAATGCTGCTTGAATCGTGCGTCTCAGTTCTAAACAATAGGGGTCGGAACGTGGCGGATGTGGATTGGTGTTTTTTTTCTCACGAGACTGTGATCATATCGGGAAGGTACGGGGTCACCACTGTGCCGATCTGGACCCGCTGGGTATCAAGCAGGAAGAGTTGCGTCAGTTGGTGCTTGTGCCCGAGGGGATGGAGGGCGTATCGTTCTTAGACCGAGTCAGACAGATCATGCTTTGTGAGTTGTCCCATGCCTGTTCTGAAGAGGAGGTCCCGACCCCTTCATCCTTTGGGGATGTCCCCTTCATCCCTTGGGGATGTCCCGTTCTTTCCCTGTGGATGTCCCCTTCATCCCTTGGGGATGTCCCGTTCTTTCCCTGTGGGTGGCTCCCTCTGACTCCCCCAAATATCCCGTCGTGGCTTCCCCACAGATATCCCATTATGTCTCCCCGAACTTCCTGTGATTCCCAATGTACAGCGTCTGTGTGCCCTTTATACGCCTTTTATCACATCGTCTTTCCACCTCACAATCACTGCTTCATATTTCACCTTTTTTTTCTGCTTGTAGTTAGTTGGTTAACTCAATCTGTAGTTACTGCCATAAGAACTTTCGGATGAAAATATTAAAGTGTCTCCAGTGTACTGGAGACACTTTATCTGATATCGTGCAACGGTTCCAGGTGCTCTCTGAACCTGTTGGCATTGATTTAGTCTCGTAGCTGTATTTTAGATATGAATTGTGCGTGTGGTGTTGATTTTTGTTCTGTACCTGTATTGCATAATTATAAAAACGAAATATGAAATTTAATTGTTTAAGTATGGTATGTGAGCAATAAATAACGTCAATGCCAATTGGTTAATGGCATTGTTTTCACTGATCTGCTTGACCTATTTCAAAATTATGTAGACCACTTTGATAGGCATTCAGTTATGGATAAGGAATGTATGCACTTGGCTATGAGTTCTGCACCATTGAGAAGAACTAGTAAAAATCTGACTTTTTTTTCGTAATGGCTTATTTATGCTGAAAAATTAAAATATGAATGGTAATTTTAAAATGTCATTTTTTTGAAAGAGGGAAAGTGAAAGAATAATATGAATGGGATTATTTGTGCAGTGACTCTTTCTTGTGAGATCGTATAAAAAATCAGTTCAGCGGTACTCACATGATATGCTTTACACATAGTACAATGTTTTCTAAACAAGTTTTACTTTGTTAAAAAAGATGTGGGTTTTATATTCTGCCGAATATTTATGTAGAATATTTATTGATTTCAATTTTCAAGAAAAGGTGAAAAAATATCATTGTTAGCTGAAGCTGGAAACAAAAAAAAAACTCCCATGTGGTTGATGGTGATGAAGTGAAGAGGAACATGACTGGAATCGAAATATTTCACTTGCTCTGAGGCACTAGGCAGAATAGTAACAGATGCACTGATGCTTTTGTAGGCTGATGCCAGGTTCTATGGAGTGACCTAATTAACACATTAATTATGTAGTCTTTTTGGGTTTGGAATGCCTAGAGAAGGTATTGGCACTCTCGATTTGCCAGGCTTGGAGTGGGTGGAGAGGCAGAGGTTATGATTTGGTAACTTTTTCATGTGTTGGTGTTTGTATGGGCGTTGACCCTTTGATTATCAGAATGCAGCAGATTTAGCAGTGCTTTCTGGCACGCTGCATGTCAGTTGAACGGGATATTTTGTGTTTTTGTGCTTGAAAGTAACATGGATGTATTTTTTTGCTGTGAAACAAATGACATGCGATTCGTTTAAACTTTTTATTTTGCAACTCTGCAGAATTGTAAATTAGGAACATATAATCTGTTTTGATCCATGTTGATAACAGGTAACAGCAGAAATGAAAATACTACCGAAAATACAAATATCTGCTATAAATAAAATATATAATACCTCAGTTGGTGTGTAGCATGTTTGCTGAGCCTGTGAAGCACAGTAAAAAATAATTGAGAATGGATGTAGCAGAATTCAGTTAATCATTGTTGCCTTCACTGTGACCTGTTGAATTAGCAAGGGTTTTTCCATGTTTGCAGATTCATCTCACACAGTGAGGACAGGTCACTGGATCCCAGGTTTGTCGTTTCTGCATTGAATCTCGGACTTGTCTCTTACGAGTAACTTAACTGCTCACGTTGGCCCGTTGCCGACATGCTAGACCTGGAGAATTCTGTGAACGTGGAGGACTGGCTCTTCTTTTCACTTTGTTAGGTTTCTCTCTATCACACTCATAAAAAATTATCTCTAGGTGTTTGTTGGTAATATAGTCACACAGTTGTGCCATTTTCCTATTTAAATCTCTTCCTCTACTTGGAAGCTGGAGATTCAAAAACAAAGAACCTTGCTTGACAAACAACTCTTTAATAAGCTTGTTAACCTTATGAGTTCTGGTCACGAAAGAAAGTATGCTTTTGAAAAGCATTGAATTCATTGAGAATCATTTGATCATGATGAAGACTCCAATGCAGGTGCTTTTTCTTGTTAGCTATTATTATTATTAGTTGGTTACATTCTGGTGAATCAATACTTGAATTCGTTCTAAATGCATATTTTAAGTTTCTATTATGGTCAATGGAGGAGCAATGTGGCACTCTGGAAGTGTTTCTTTATGGAGATACAGAGTTTGCACACTTGATTCTTTTGCTTTGCAACATTTTGCATTTGAAGAATTACTCGATTAAGTTGAAGCTTTCAATGGAAGCCTATTCACCCCCGATAACATATGGGTATTATATACGTAACCCTTTTGCATCTACACCTGAGGTATCTCTTTTAAAATCATATATCATAAATTGGTCAGCCACAGGTCTTTTCTTTACTCTTTTTCTATGTTATGTGAATATACCAGCACACTCATTGCAATTTTCCTATGTCAACCATGAATTGCAGGAAAGGAGCATCCTTGTGACTCTTGATGTTCATTACCTTGTGCTCATGATTTCATTCCTGATTTCATGACATCAGGTTTCATCTGGGATTCCACATATCCTGTTGCATTTTTTTTGTCCCAACTTGGTTCCAATGCATTTGTGAAATTCCACCCAACTCTTGTAAAGAATTAGGTTTGACTAATTCATTTACTGGATTTTTAAGTGCATTCTATACTTCTGGAGAAACAAAATGTGATGGACTTGCTTTATTCTTTTTAAAGGGACCTATATTGAGGTGTATCATGGTTAAAGAGAACTATACCTGTCTCTTGCTCTAGTATTGAATGTGCTGGTATTGACATTTGATATTTGAGTCAATTATGCACAGGAGAACACCAAATCCTGTCTTGAGAATGTATTGGGTTTGAAAATAGGCTTCAGGCTGATTCTTTCATGTTCCCTTTATTGCCATTCTTGTTTCAATGCTGTTTCTATAGCAACCAATTGAATGTCAGGGAGAGTTGGCATGATATTAATGCTGGGGAAAAGATGAACATGTTTAGGTTTGCGCATACCATTTATGCTCTTGCAGGAGCACCAAATAGGCATAAGACAGGGAATCTCAAGGAAGTGGTACTGTTTGCTAATAGAAGGAATTCACTCATGCATCTCAACAGTCATGATATCCTCTCTCTGTCTCTCTGGACAGCACCACCTACTGCAGAATTTCTGTGTTCTAGTAATATGTATGTGCCTTCCTGTCATCAACAAGGCTCATCTCTCCTGTTGACCATCATGAAGTTTACCTCTTGTGACTTGAATTGAATTTATGGTTTAATTTGCAGACAGCGTCTAAGTTTCCCAATGAGGACAGTTCTAGGCTTTATATATATATACACACAGGATATTTATATATTGCATATCTTTCTCCTGTATCTGCATGTATCTCACCTTTTATTGACAGTGAACATGTTCATTTATTCTTCCAATTATGAAATTGGCATGACATGATATGAAATAGCCTCTGTTTTTGGTGGTGGTGATGGTTGCGGTTTTAGTCCAACAGAGTAAGAAAGTGAAGGTGGAAAGTATCCTCCATACCTGGTGATCCTCATCCTTCATTCCCCCAATCCCCCCTTTTCTTGAGGAATGGGCATGAGTTTGCTAACAGGTCTGGCTCGGCGGGGCAAGCAGAACCGGAATCGGGTAGCGGTCGGTCCGAGAGGCATGACTCATCTCTTGCCTGAGGGAAGTGAGACGTTCATTTTACACAGCATGTTGAGAATCTAGCATCGATCTTAATGCATTTAGGCCCGTTCTGTGGCACGTAGGAAGTGCTGGGGACTCGGAGCAGAGATTATCGTTTTGCCTTTGTTCCCAAAATGACAGCTTATGGGCCTATGAATGTGGGAATATGTGTTTGCAGGCCAAGATCTTTCATTATTAATTAACTGTTGTTTTGATTGTCAAGGCTGCTGAATTTTCATCCTGTAGTTGTAGAGTTATATCATCAGAAGGGGAGTGAACATGTAAGGAAGAGGTTAGATATTTCAGAGACACGTGGACATACTCTCTCTCTACTGCATTTAGTTTTAATCCCGCATGGCAGATCGACAACGATGACGTGTGTATGTGTGAGTGTGGGTATGATCTCTTGTGTAGATCCGAGGTCACTTTCTAGCCGATGTGGACCCCCTTGGCATCACCAGACAGGAAATGGAAAGTACAAACCATGCAGAGGTCCTTTCATTCAGCTTCCCATTTGGTAAGATGTGCATCACTCTAAACTGAAACATCAAAGTCAACATTCTTTTCAACGGATGACTTTCGGCAGTCATCTTTTTCCACCGATTGTCATTTGAGAGGTGATGCTACCGGCTGATCTCGGCATAATCTTGAATGATGTCTTATCTGTTTCCATCTTGTTGCAGAAGAATCACAGGTCTCATTCAGATGGTACTGTAGAAACTTGGGGCTTAGAGAGAATCCAAGGGATATGATCATGATTCCAGGATATGTCCCACTCTCAATTTAAACTTGAGAGTGGTGTCTTTTAGCCTTATCCAGTTCTATCAGCAATTAAATGACAGAACAGATTAGCATTGCAGATATCAAAATATGAGTGGCAGCTCATCAGGGCAGACTAGGGAGGCCAGGCCTCGCAACAATTCTCAAGATTGTGCACCTATTGATATAACTTTGGGATAACCACTAAGTGCTGCAAATCTCTATGGGAAATCTGTCAGAATCTTTGGATTTATTCTCAATTGCTGCCAAGTAAGTGATATTTGATCTTTGACAGTTGATCATGGAATTGAGTTCATGTTGAGCTGGCCCCCCCAGGTTTTTCATCCACGAGCTGCTGCTGCAATAGGAGTGTCTATTTTTGTTATGTTTTTCTGAATATTGCTCACAAGTTCAGGCTCAAGGGTGGGTCATTTTTGCATGGAGTGCTCTTCAGTACTTTAATTTGTTAGGCCCTGTTGACTAACAATATCCATCTGTCCAGTGGTCCTCAGTCATTCTCACCCATGAGCAACAGCTGAAGGTTGCAGAGAATTGATGTGAAGAATTTCAGAGAAACACTCTAATCATTTGATATATCATTTTTATTATGGAATTTTCAATACCTAATTTTTTTTTGGAAATTTTTCAGTTTTTGGGGACATCTCGAATCAGCTACTTGTTGACTTGTTCACAATCTAATGCTCATTGTATCCAAAGTAGTGCTAGTATTCATGGATTTGAGTGGGGACTCCCATATTACATACAAATTAGAATGGCATACCTGGACTTCATTTCATTTTCTGCTTGTTTCCAAACAAAGTACAAGGAATTTCCTTGGAGGGGATGGGGCAGGAATATGAGATAGCATTCAAAGAGATGTGTGTGAAAACAGGAAATGAAGCTGTTTGCAGTCTTTTTCACTCTCCCCTCAGCCATGCACCTCTGTTATTGCACCACAGGGTGGTACCCCAGGTAGCCAGACTATTTGGTTGAAAGTCATGCATTATACGTTCTCATATATTCACAGGACCTGTACAGGAGTTGCCATTGGTCCATAACTTTTGATGGGTCAAATTGTTGCATTTGCCAAAAGTTTACTGATTAATGATTAGCTTTTTTTTACTCCTGTGCAACAGCTTTATAGCTACTTTCATGGTCCGATGTGCATATGCAATTCTCAGGTTCTGTTCAATTTTTTAAATTGAAATTGTTAACAAGAACTGGGTAAACAACTCTGGCCATACCTGGAAACATGAGATTATGGATCATTGCTGTATGTGGTCTTCCGGTATAAGTCAAGTTGAAATTTTAATATCATGATTGAACTCCATTAGTTTTCTCTTCTGATTGACCTATTTGATATTTGATCAAACATGACTGATGAGCATGAGATGTTGAAAAATTTTCTAGCATGGAAGGGTAGTTTGCGTAGAGTGATGACGTAGGATTCAAGTCACAACATTGATTGCTGTAGAAAAGGGAAAGTCTGGTTTGATGATGATAGTCGTCATACCTTAGGGTGCATGTAGATGAAGCATTGAGTCTTGCATGAGTGCATATGAAATGGATTGAATGGTATGTATGGACAGACCCCATCTACGTGTCTTCTGATAGTCCTGGAAACTGCGCATGAAAATAGTTCATATTATTTCTGGAGTCTTGTGTGGAAGAGCTCCTTTTTTTCATTAAAGCCAAATGAAAAGGGGATTCTGCTCTTACTAGCCATTGGCAGACCATAGTGTTCCTTGCAGCATTTGATAAATTTGGAGAGGAAAAGCTAGATGGTCTCCAAATACGCTCTGAAATTTATATACTCGGCCAATGAACCTGTTGATTAAACAAAGAAATACTACATGGCGTTTAAACCCGATGCTGAGTCGTGAGTTTAATCCTCATGTAGTTCTACTTTGTTTAACAAATAGGCCTTATGTTTTCATTTGTTTTTTGTGTGTTTTTTTTTTGGTATTTCATTGCTCTGTTTCGCGTTGCAGAGAATAGTACATTTCGAATTCCTGACATTGATGCCAACCTGGGCGCCGGTACCATCAGTCTGAGTATGTCCACTACTCGTTCACTCTTCTTCCATTCATACTGTCTTGTCTACTAATGTTCACTAACAAAATTTTGTGCTATGTCATTGGTAGGGGTAGAATTTTTATGCAGGAGAAAGCCTAAGATATGCATGCATTTATGCACTTAAGCTGTTAAGGGTATTGCTTAGAATTTGCAATTAAATCAATGCAGAATGTGTCACAAGAATTTTTTAGGTTTTGCCATTACGGTACGCACATGCAGAACCAGTCGTGTTCGTGTTCTCAGGCGTCAGCTTGCGATGATGTCAGGTAGAATTCATACTCTCAACTGGAGAGGCACCATGTTGAGGCAGGAGACAGTCACCAAATGCCTGTGCGTGGTGAAGGCTGCGAAAACTGGTTCACGCCATCCGGATTTGCTACTTTCCAGCGAAAATCATTGTGAAAGAATTTCTTGCATTCAGTTTTTAGATTAGTTGGGTGTATTATGCTTTTTTGCATGAATTGGAAAAGAAAAATGCATCTCTGGAACTTCTGCAGGTTATGTGTATTTTTTATGATAAATTGTCAATACCTGCAAAAATTTGCAAACTAATGTTTATTTTATAGGCTTGAGATAACTGCTTATCACATATTGGAAGAGGCATATATATCTAATAGGAAAACTGATCAAGTATGCAAGGCATAAAAATCCTACCCCTCAATTTTGGCAATTTGCCATCATTTATGTAACTGTCTCATGTTTCTCATGTTTCTGCTTACTTTTTATGCATTCCTGGGAAATACTTTTTCCTTTGCTTTCAATATACTATACTTTCAGTTTTTCCCTACTGTGTTAGTGCTACCCAAAAATTTACTGAACTGTCTTAATGAACAAGGGTTTTGTTCCATTCACACATTATAGATATGCACTTCTATTCAAATATATTTAGCTCTATCTTTCAACAGGTCTCCCTACCTTGATCTCGTCTCCAGGTCTAGCTGCAAGTTGCATTTGCATGACAAAACTGTAGATCTTTTGTCATTTTCTGTTTCCTAGGGCCCAATTTGAGGGTGAAATTCTTTAAATTCTAAAGTTCTGAAGTGAATCCAGACCATGAATTCTATGAGCCCTGTGCCATCTGGTGCATTGCTACTGCTTCTGTGCGGGTCCTCACTGCCGCAAGCTTTTTTATCGCACTGCTGATGTGTCAATTCCTGATTTGACTGGGCTAGGGTAATCATGTTTAGTATGCAGTGGTGGGGTGACAGTTCAGTAAGGGGCTGGTCACTCAAGGAGTTTCTTCCATAACAGAAAAAACCAAATGTGAGTGTGAAACCCTTCCCTCTCCCATGTTGTTTCGCCATGCCAATGCAACTTGAAAAATTCGAATTTTCTGCATGTCTATGCACTCCATTATGTATTGTCATGCTGGTATGTAAATTTTGTGCATGCAGAAGTTCCATAAAAATGGAATGCCTTCCTGTAGATACGAATGACGTAGAGTTTGACGTAGAAACAATAATGTGAAAATGGAGTTTTAAAGATTTTTGAAACTGGATTGACAGAGGAGAAAGACATGGACAGGATATTTCAACTGCCTCCAACCACGTACATCGGGGGCCGAGAGAAAGCCCTACCTCTACGTGAGATCCTTCGTCGCCTGGAGGATGTCTACTGTCGTGGAATTGGGGTCGAATACATGTTCATCAACAATCTCGACCAGTGCAACTGGATCAGGCGCAAATTCGAAACGCCTGGCATAATGGAGTTGAGCAATGATCAGAAAAGACTCATCGTTGCCAGGCTTGCCCGAGCGACTGGGTATGATTCTTTTATTTACTGTCTATGAGGTTGTCCTTTTTTAGCCATTATATACAATTTTTTTTCAATAGATTTGAGGGCTTTTTGGCCAGAAAGTGGTCATCTGAGAAGCGGTTTGGCCTGGAGGGTTGTGAGATTCTCATCCCTGCCATGAAGCAAATCATAGATGTCTCCAGCAACCTGGGAGTGGAGTCCATCATCATGGGAATGCCTCATCGGGGACGTCTCAACGTCTTGGCAAACGTTTGCCGTAAACCACTCGAACACATCTTCTGCCAGTTTGCTGCTCTGCAAGCTGCAGATGAGGTTCATATTCTATATGGTCCTTTTGTGGGAAAAATTTATCTTCATTAAAAGCAGAGCTTGGGACTGAGAAACCTTATCTATAAAGAAAGAACTATCAATGAAGTAATGCTCCAATCAGGCGTAGCACTGTGTATATTGGATAGGTGGTTTTTCCAGCTGACAGGAGGGAATAGACATGTCAAGCTTCCACATGGAAAAGTAAGAAAGGAAATATAAATTTTTTTGTGTGAAATAATGTGGTAAGAAAGATTGAATAGAGTTCAATATTTTGAAATGGATGCATAATTATTGGAATGGATGTGCTAATCCTATTTTTTGGAGAGCATTACTGAATTCTGTGAATAGTTATGTGGATGTTTATAGTTTCATCCACAAATATTGTATAATTGTCAGACGGAAGCTCTAATCAATATCTTTGATGGTATTTGCCTTCATATTAACAGGTTAGGCTATAAGATTATTTGCATAATGTACATCTACAACTGGACAATTTTCCATTCTTAGGGTTCAGGAGATGTGAAGTACCATCTGGGAACATATATCGAGCGACTTAACCGCTTGACCAACAAGAACATCCGCATGGCTGTTGTGGCCAATCCTTCTCACCTGGAAGCCGTGGACCCCGTCGTGCAGGGCAGAACCCGGGCCGAGCAGTTCTATCGGGGTGACAATGAAGGCAAAAAGGTCTGCCATTCTTCCTACCTAATCCATCCAGTATTGGAAGAGTGATAGGATGATCATGAGTGACTGTGGGAATGCGGCAGGTGATGTCGATGTTGCTGCATGGAGATGCTGCATTCTCCGGACAAGGGGTGGTGTATGAGACGTTCCACCTCTCCGATCTTCCCGAGTACACGACCCAAGGCACGATCCACATCGTGGTCAACAACCAGGTCGGATTTACCACCGACCCTCGATTTTCACGATCCTCACCATACTGCACTGGTAATTATTCTTTTCCCCCACTCTTAGAGAAATGTCATCTTCAAAGTTTCATCTCTCATGCAGTATTTTTCCATGCTTTTGAGTGACAAAGCCATCACTAGGACCATACCACCTATTCTGCCATTCATTTACACACTACAGTATGAATGGCTTCATATAAGACTTTACAGGTGACTCACTGGCATAATGAAATGATCAAAAGGGAATAACGTCATGTTCACTTAGCTAATTGGTGGATTTCGATCTTCTCCTAGAACCTTGCAGACAGAATGTCAGGAACTCTTTTAGCCAGCCATATTGATATTATGCTATTGATGTGTCTGTCTCTTATTAAACACATGTAGATGTGGCAAGGGTGGTTAATGCGCCCATTTTCCACGTGAATGCTGATGATCCTGAGGCTGTGATGCATGTGTGCAATGTTGCTGCAGAATGGAGGGCCACCTTCCACAAGGATGTTGTTGTTGATCTGGTCAGTCGTTGTCTCCCGCTTATGAGCTTTTCCTGCAGCATCCTAAAGGAACAATAACGTCTGTCTGCCTTTCTGACAGGTGTGCTACCGACGGTATGGACACAACGAGATTGATGAACCCATGTTTACCCAACCAATAATGTACCAGAAGATCCATGATATGCCACCAGTCCTTGAGAAATATTCAGAACGGCTAGTCAAGGAGAATATCATTACCAATGAAGAAGTGAAGGTGAGAACTTGGTTTTCATGAACTTACCTAGTTGCATCATCATTCATCTAACTTGCAGTTGTCTTTTTCTCTCCAGGAACTGAAGGATCGCTATGAGCAGATCTGTGAGGAGGCACTCTCAAATGCCCAAAAGGAGACCCAGTTTTACTACAAGCACTGGTTGGATTCCCCATGGTCAGGTTTCTTTGAGGGAAAAGACCCCCTGAAGGTCTCCCCCACTGGAGTGAAGGAGGAAACCCTTGCACACATTGGGAAGAAGTTCTCGTCTCCTCCGGAGAATGCAGCAGATTTCTCCATCCATAGAGGTAGTGTATGCCACTTTCTTTGAGTAGACCTCACTCTTTGCTTGCCAAGAGACTTGGTAGCACCTAGTTACATAGACACAGACACGGCCACCTCACCTAAATTTTTTTCAGTACTCTGTAGGTGACATGAGTGCTGTGCTGCCTAGATTCCTAAAGTAATGCTTATGGAATATCTTTCATGGGGGTAGTATTTCCTGAAAATGCCACCTTTTTCAGCGTACAAACATTATCATGGATGAGTCAAACAAGCAATGAAAACATCAATCAATGAGCTTCCTCTTGTTTCTCTTTCTCATGGCTTTTTAGTATTCTGATGAAGGGCTCCGAGCTGAAAATCATAAGTTTTTCTTCCTTGTCTCTTTCATCCTTATTCCTCTTTTTGCACATGTTGCTCATTTTTGTTTTCTTTATTTTCATGTCTGTTTTGTCCATTTCTCTTTTCCTACTTTGAACCATGAAGTTGCCTGCCACTCCCTTTCTGCTCTTTATGGTACTCTGGCTTGAACCTTATTTTCATCTTATGATTGAAAATCTACCAGAAGATGCCTAAAGTGAAATATGGAAAAAATGTGACATGATCATGTGTATAGGAGATATTGAATGTCTTGAACAGCACTGTAGTGCCAGCTGCATCAAGTATTGGAATCATGTTTAATGCTCTTTGTCCAGTGCACCAACCCAGGTCATCCCCATTGCTTGTTATGAGAACTTTGAATTCCCTAGTACCGAAATTGGACATGAACAACCATTTCAGTTACAGGCTGCTGAAATGGGGAATGTATCTTGTGAATCAGCCTAAGGAGGCATATCTATTTGTAGAGAAATGTGGTAACCTTTTATATCCTTTTCAGTGATTTATGTCTGATGCACTGATTCTCATTGGGTAAGCAGACTCAAAACTTCATTGTTATCTTCTACAGCAAGGTGCAAGCATATCCATTAGCATTTTCATTGTGGAACCTATACATGCTGATCCAAATGCTAATACATGGGGAAAGAAGTGGGGGTGGCCAGCAGATTCTGCAATGTCTTGTTTGGATCAGGGTGGAGTGCTTGCTTCATCTCTCAATGTGATCAGGGTGGGGAGAGGTTGTCCCATCTCCTTCATCCCTCATTACAATCAATCAAGGGGAAGGGAGGTTGCTGAGCTTAGTAGAGCTGGGACCATCATTATGGCTGATGGAATCATTCATGCCTCCAGCTTTTAATAGTGACATCAAAGCTTTAGTGCATTGTGACAGCCTGTTATCACACATGACCCCAGTTCTGTTGTCTATGGACTTTTGGATTGACATATCCTGGGAAGTGAGCACATATGCAATGCTGCTTGAACACCACTTAGAGGATCGGTTGCTTTCACATTTCCATGCATGTGCTCACAAAAGCACAGCTTTTTCCAAAGCTCTTGACCTGTTCTGTCTTCCTGCATGCGACAGCGGGTGATGAATATCAAGACACGTCAACAGCTGAGCGTCAAAATGGTGAGATTATAGTAAAGTCATGGTAGACAGCTGCAACTGCTCGTCTCCCTACACTGCCGTGCGAGGGCTGGGTTTGTATTCCCCGTGCTCTTGCTGTGCAGGCATTCAATTTTTATTTTTGCATGTTTGCAAATGAAATTATGATTTTTTAATTAGAACTGGCATGATAGGTTTGCCATGAATTTGAGATGGCATGCTGATATGCATGCCAAGGAATTTAAAAATTTGGTGTACCCTTCAGTTATGCTGCCCTGCTGCACTATGGGTGAGACATGATTCAACTGAGAAGAGTTAAATGAGGCATGAATATGCAAGAACATTTGCATGAGTTATTTGCAAAGCAATGGTAAGCAGTTATTTTTTAGAAGCTGTGAAGGTGAATAATGAGGTTCATGCCAAGAGGAGCCACAGTAAAAGTTTTTTAATTTCTGATTAATCTTGTGTCATATGTTTGCATTTCATATGCTAGGTTAACCCTTTTAGTTATAATTATTTTCTGTCCCTTTTTCTAGGTTTCTTTTGTATACAAATGTAATCCCACCCAATATGCAAATCAACCATTAATTTCAATATGTTTTTCCTGAAAACATTAGCTATAATTAGAAGACTAACTGGATTCTGGGTACCACTGAGTGCATTATGTTTTGTTGGATCCACTGCTTCAGAACATGTGCCTCATGGATGAATTCTTGGGTGAATATTGTGCAAAATAATTAAATACTCTTTTCATTCCCTTTTTTCAGGTTGAATACTAAGTGAACAAGCTAAACTTGTGATGCAGAACATGACAAAGTTGCTTGTGCTTCATGAAACATTGGAAATAATGAATCCTTCGTGTTGGCTACTATTTCAGAGGATTTTCAGATTGGTACGGAATAATGTGTTGCAAGACCAGCTAGGATCTCTATCAGACTGATTGAAATCTGCTGACATTCCCAGAGAAATGGTTAACATGAGGCTTTGATCACTGGAGGGAGTTTCTTTGAAAAAAAAAATGTTGAGCTTGAATTCACCATTGAAAGTATTCAATTTTTCTGGCATACATTTTCTCAAGATTCAACATTGATTTGTGATTTGGCTCAAAATGACTAGGAACTGCACAATAAGGTGATTTGACTTTCATTCCTGCAGTAGTTAGCCTTTGGGGGGGCCTGTCATTTATGATGACACTGGATTGCATGGAATTAAATGAGATTTGTGATTTGGCTCAAAATGACTAGGAACTGCACAATAAGGTGATTTGACTTTCATTCCTGCAGTAGTTAGCCTTTGGGGGGGCCTGTCATTTATGATGACACTGGATTGCATGGAATTGAATGGAAAAACAGGAAGTTAAGAGTTGTGAGGGAGGAAATGCCTTAAGAAAGGCAGTGGGAAGCAACAATGGTGGTTTGAGCAAAACTGAGGAGCTGCTTTATGAGGTTTTTCCAATTTAATTATATTTGTACAGTGAACTTCTTGGATGAAATTTCTAACCAAGTGCAAAATGAAGTGTTGGATATGTATAATGTGAGAGCTGCAGTCAACACTATGAAGTTTGAAGCAAGTCAGTATTCCAAAGTATGCTTAAACTTCCTGCTGACACTGGCCAAAATATAGGCAATTGTGTAAAAAGTCTACTTATCTGAAGCAAGGAGGTTGGAGAAGAGTCTGTTAGTGGCATATACAAGGTGTTCCAAAATGAATATACCAAAAAGGAAGCTGAGTAACTTTTATTATTGAGATATCAACAAAATAAAAAAATATATATATTCTGAAGGCTTGTAAGCCATTTTTAATTGAGGGGTGATTTGCTGACAGAAATTTCCTCCTTTTGTTATATACCTATGGAGTTTTTTCTTTCTGGCTTTAACCTTTCAGTGCTGTGGGATTTAAATCCATTTCCAAAGCCTGATTCTGGAAGAGATTATGATTTAAGTTATGAGAAAGCATTACCTAAATGACCTTAACTTCTGTAATTGTTATTGGCTTTTAATTTGGGATTTGCGTTTGGAGTTCCATCTTTCAGATGACACTATCAAATTTTTCAAATATTTTTAAAATTCTCAACAGGAGAGGCGCATATGCCGTGGGATGCTGTGGGGCAGCCAGTCGTACGGTGTATGACGCATGGATATGAAGGGTCAGGCACAGATGGAGAAATGTCATTAGTTATAGGAGGCTATATGGAATGGGCCTGTGGGGACTAGTTATCAGTATATCTAGTTGGTAATTTTTTTAGTAAAATTCTCCAAAGCTCTTATGGCAACTCTTATGAAATAATCCGTAACCATTATAGATTGCCACAAATCACATCCAGATGCTCTAAACTCTCAATGTATTGTGGAGAACTAATTAAAAATTAAATAACAGATGATCAATAACTAACAAGAACATTTAACAAAAAAGAAAAATCTGTTAATATCATGATTGCAATTCATGGATACATCAGAAAGTGTGAAGAATTTTAGAATTCTTGGCAGTCAACTAGATCTTGTGACAATAACTGCATAATTTAACCCTCTATGTCCCAATCATAGTAACAGACTGAAAATTAGATTACATCATGTGTAATTTTATTGCTACACCACTGTGACTCAATGTATCTTTGAAATCACACTCTAGTTGTACTAATAAAGGTTTTTGGTCTCATTTAGATTAATATTACTAAAATTGAGTCACCAGTTACATTTTTTCCCACATGAAAAAATTCTGGGCATGGAGGGTTAAATACAGAGTTAAATATTGAGTTTTTGCTTGGATAAATTCACCATGCAGATCTTGAAAGAACCTT